GGGCGAGGCAGCGTCTGGGGTGGCAACCAGCGGGCTCACAGGACAGCTCCCTGAAGGTGGCAGGTCTGAAGACTGGCCTTCACCATAGTCCTCAATAAAGATGGGGTTCACGAACCACAGGCGGTCAGTGCCTACGGCCAGCTCGATTTCGCAGGAACAGTTCTCATGATGGGTGGTGGGCTTGAGGCTGGAGGCTGGGGGCGCCCCGGGGGCTAGGTCCTTGGGGGGATCCGCTGGGCTCCCTACTGCTTGCCGGGGGTTCAGCGATGAGTCCCAGAAGCCTGTGGAGACAGAGCCGACCAGGCGGTCAGTGGGGCTGGACCTGGGGTGGTGCTGGGCGCGTGGGGGCAGGGCCCCTGAGACGTTTGCTTCATTGTGGGAGGTTGTTTTTCCCTCCTGGGCTGATCTAACCTCTCCCACCACTTCCTGCCTGGTGAGGGGAAGCCCCAATGAGCAGAGACTCCCAGCAGCCCAGGGGTGGTGCGGGAGGTGAGATCAAGGGGACATGCTACAGCTTCCATCCAGAGTATGAGAACGCTAGGGGGGCCCTGGAATGGGGTTGGGTGGCACCACAGCACGCTGGGCCAGGCATGGGGGACAGAGGGATGAGAAGCACCCAGATTTGCCCAGCAGGTGCTTTGAGGTGGTAGACCCAACCTTTCTAGGTCTTAATGTAGTCATCTCTGAAATGGGGTGAAGGCAGTACCCACACCATGGGCTTTAGAAAGAGAAGTCAGTTTGCGCTGGGGAAAGTGCTTGAGGGACTGTAAATCCCATCTGAGTGTGTGGTGGAAAAAATAAACCTTTGGATTATGGCCAGGGGGAACCCAGACTTACTATCCAAGCAGCAACCCCTCCCATCACTGCAAAATGATTTTGACTCAGGTCAGTCTTGACGCTCAAATAAAAAGCTACCCCGTGTGTCCCGAAGTGGGGAACCAGAGAGGAGCAGGGGACCACACTGCTGAGCAAAGGTGTGGGGGACGAAGTTCTTCTGTTAGCACAACACTCACAGACTCTGAGGTGGCCAAGGGTGCTGCATGAGCCCCTGGTGGGCCTGTCCCCAAGGAGGGGTTGACTCAGCACCAGGCTTGACTAGGTGAGAGACAGAGCCGAGCTGAAAGGACAAGAGGTCGACCAGCATGGCATTAACTGACCCACTGCCCCTACTGGGAACTAGATGGACTCACAGGCTCCTCAAGGGACAGCACAAGGCACAGAGACTGCACACTGAACTCAGACGGCCGGCAGAGCCCTGAGGCTTACTCGAGCCACCCCTCTGTAGAGAGGAGCTTGGCGCCCAGCTCTTATCCAGCCTGTGATTTTCAGAGGTGGAGAGCAATGCAGGTGCTTTGCTTTGGCGGGGATGGACATGCCAGTGAGAAAGCTGCCAGAACTTTCTCGAAGGACAGTGATGGTGAACATACATCAGACTCTTGTTTGGCATCAGCCTGGGGGCTGTGTGCCTTCCGTGGATTGTGTCGTTGACAGCTGACCACCAGCTTACGCATCGGTCTGAACTCTGATCCCGGTTTCCTGATGAACAGGAGACTCAGGGAGCCCATGATTCGCCCATGGTCATGGGGCTGGTGGGTGAAGGAGCTGGGATTTGAACCTGGCCTGGTAGAGCTGCCCCACGGTCATGGGCTGGTGGATGGAGGAGCTGGGATCTGAACCAGCCCCGAGGAGAGCCGCCCCACAGTCGTGGGGCTGGTGGGTCAAGGAGCTGGGATTTGAACCTGGCCTGGTAGAGCCGCCCCACAGTCGTGGGGCTGGTGGGTCAAGGAGCTGGGATCTGAACCAGCCCCGAGGAGAGCCGCCCCACGGTCATGGGTTGGTGGATGGAGGAGCTGGGATCTGAACCAGCCCTGAGGAGAGCCGCCCCATGGTCATGGGGCTGGTGGGTGAAGGAGCTGGGATTTGAACTGGGCCCAAGTAGAGCTGTCTCACAGGATTTCTTAGGAAGTAATCTTCAGGAGAGCAGAAGACTAGCTGCTTTGCCCATGGAGCCACTGGTGAGTTTGAACTACCTACCTTCTGCTTATACAGAGTGAGAATGACTAGAAGAACTGACGTCTTTGAATTATGGTGGTGAACTTTCTTTCAAGTTGAATTGTCCTTCAAAATAGTCCTGGAGGCTTTCCTGCTGACATGTTCCTCTTTAAAGTCAAGCACCCACCTTGCTCTTTATCTCTGATATGAACAGGCTGGACACTGCTCCTTACAGAGGGCTGCCTGAGCGAGCTACAGTGGTCTCCGGGCCATCTGAAGTACACTGGCGGGTCCACGTTGGAGAATAGCCCCATGAACCGTCAAAACAAACAGATGCATCTTGGAGAAAGTGCAGCCAGAATGGTTGGGTTGTGCTTTTTTCCCCTTTCCCTTTTTTTTTTTTTTTTGAGTTCTTTTATAGGCAAAGATGATAAAGTTTCATCTCACATACTTTGGGCATGTTGCTAGGAGAGGCTATTTCATAGAGAAGGGACATTGTGCTTGGAAAGGTGGAGGGTTGGCGAAAGACAGGAAGACCTTCAAGCAGGTGGACTGACACAGCGACTGGAGCAATGGGCTCGAGTGTGTCAGAGCTGGTGAGGACGGCACAGGATAGGACAGGATTCACACTTGTTCATAGGGCCACTATGCGTCACACTCAACAACATCTAAAAACAACCATCAACCAACGTTTTGCTTAATCATCATGCTGCCAGATAAAAAAACCCCACTGCCACCCAGTCCACTGAGACTCTTAGTGACCCTGGAGGGTAGAGTAAAAGATCTCCTTAGGGTTTCTAAAGCTGTAGTCTTTAAGGAAGCAGCCTGCCACAGCTTTTTCCTGTGGAAGCTCATGGGTTCAAACTGCCCACCTTTTGGTTAGCAATCAGGCCCTAAACTCTGCTCTACCAGTACCCATTCAGGCTCAAATGTTCAACCCCTGTGTCGTGTCAAGGCCCAGGTGCTTAGCGCTGTGCGGTTCCGGCTTCCTTCACAGGAACTTACGACACTTCCCATGTCAGCGGCTCTTCCAACATCAGCATGTGGCCGGGTGGCGTGCACCCAGTGCTGGGGGTTGGTAACAAGTCTTAGGAAAGGTGGGTCGTGGAGATGGCGGTAAAGAAAGTGAACTGTGAGGAATTGACTGATGGGAAGTGAGCTGTGGCCCACCCAGCTGCATGGGCTGTCATGGGCTCAGGGCCAGCTCACCATTCCCCGTCCTTGGTAGAGACATCGTCCCTCAAAGCTTGAGGGCTGTGGCCTATTGCCCTCACTGCACCAAGGATGACCAACGTCCATCTGACTTTTTGCAACTTGAAAAGTTCCTGGTCCATCACAGCCATAACCCGTGTGTCCAGGCTTTCCCGGGACCTGCACAAGGTGGCCTTAGTGACACCCCAGCTCCGTGGTCTGCTGTCAAAGGCAGCTCCTGACCCCACTGTGATGGCCACCCTCCTGGTGGCCCGCTCTCAAGCACACAAGGACTCTAGTCCTAGCAATTAAGTGTGTGAACAGTATGTCCACGTGGACATGGGCCCAGTGAAGTCACTGGGAAGTTGCCCAGAACAGAGCAGCAGGCAGCCGGGTTGGCTCACAGGTGAGGTCCTTGATGCTCACCTCCCAGGTTCCACAGGACGTGAGTGAAGGTGGAGGAGGCTGGGCTGTTGCGAGGTGCCAGCGAGTCAGTCCTGACCGCATGGACGATAGGGTCCGGTGCCGGCCTCCCCATCCCTGCTGGGCATAAGTCCACTGTGTGTGGTCACTGTGTCAGTCTATCTTCTTGAGGATTGTCGCTGACCTTCTACATTGTCCAGCACGATGTCTGTCCTTCTGTGGGCTCTGGTCCCTCCTGATAGCACACCCAAAGCAGGTGAGGATGAGTCTCCCCTCCGCACCTCTAAGTGGCCTGGTAGCCATGCTCCTTACAAGATGGACTGCTGCTTCTTTCGGCCGTCCACGGTATATTTAATATTTCTAACTAACATCACAATTCAAAGACATCAACTCTTCTGTGGTTTTCCTCTCCTGGTCCGACTTTCACAAACATGTTTTGGTTGTAACCACTGATTCAGAGTGACCCATAGCTGACCCTCCAGTGGGTTTTCAGAGGCGGTAAACTGCACGGGAAGAGACTGCCCATCCTTCTCCTGCGGAGCAGCTGGTGGATTCGAACCGTGTGCCTTTTCATTGACAGCACAACTTCTTACCACTAAAGCCACCAGAGCATATGCGTATGATGGGACTGAAGACATCATGGCTCCGGTCAGGCGTACCTTGGGCCACAAAGTGACAGCTTGCTCTAGGACACTTTAGGGAGATCCTGGGCACCAGATCTGAGTAAGACAGCAACAGATCATTTGATTTCTTGGCTGCGGCTACCAGAGAATGTGGATCTAAGGAAAAGACACTTTTCCCAATTTCAAACTACTGCTTTCTTGGTCTATGTACACGACAGATGGAGAAAAGACTGGAACTGTCAAAGACTTCATCTTACTAGGATCCACAATCAACACACTTGGTACCAGCAGTCAGGAGATCAGGAGATGTATTGCTCTGGGGAAGTTTGCAGTCAAAGATCTCTCCAGATTATTAAGGAGCAATGATGTTAGTCTGAGGACTAAGGAACACCTGATTCCGGCCATGGTCTTTCCCATCACTTGCTATGTGTCTGAGAGCTGGACAATGAATAAAGATGACAGAGGAAGAACTGATGCCTTTGAACGGCGGTGTTGGACAGGAGTCCTGAATAGTCCATGGATGCTGAATGAGCACAGCTTTGGAGAAGGTGCAGCCAGAGTGCTCCTTGATGGCAAAGATGATGAAACTCCGTCTCCCATCCTTCAGGCATGTTGCTAGGAGAGGCTATTTCTTGTAGAGGGACAGCATGCTTGGAAAAGTAGAGGGATGATGACAAAGGAGAGGAAGGTCCCCAACCAGATGAATTGACACGGAGACTGCTGCAATGGGCTCGAGTGTGTCGGAGATTGTGAGGAAGGCACAGGACAGGACAGGGTCCAGACCTGTTGCTCATAGGATCACGACGAGACATACTTGACTCAACAGCACCTAACAACACAACAGTATCTTTTCTAATCTACCAAGTCTTTATGCCTCTGTCTGCCGCTCACTTCTTCCCGAGCCAGCTAGCCCCACCTTCAGGTCTTCCTTGAGTTTTCTGAGACGACAAAGAGCCCATGACTTCCTTCAACTGCCTGAGAAGACAAACACAGTTTTATAATAAACCTTTATCAAGACCTGGAGACAGAAACCTGGAAGTAAAATAACATGG